AATTACTAGCTGAAATGATTGAGGGAACCTAAAAAATGGGGCCAAGTTACTGGAGGAAGGACGGTGTTGGGCATCAAGGATTCTGCTATCACACACTAGAAAGCTGATAAGTCTCATTCCATGCTGGGAAAACATTTGGTCAAATGTTTTTTTGCTGTGCATTGCTAAAGAGACCATGTGCTGACACAGGCTGCAGAGCTTGGAGAAGCAGAAGAAAAGATTTGGGGTGTTGGAGTATTGGTATTGTGTTCATGACTTCTTCCAGCTTTCAGCAAAACTTGTGAGAGGGTAGCACTCGGGCTACCGCCAATCAGGCTACAGGCAGAATGAGGGGTTAGCACAGCTTTGCTAAGGGACACCCCTCTGCTTGAAGCCTGCCTCCAAGTTGAATGAAGGTCACTACTTCCTTACCCCAAAGTGAAGCAGTTGTAAGTAGTGCCTGTAAAGTGGAAGTCTAGTCTCAGAGGATATACTGCTGCTGCCATGAAAGGTTGCATTCCTACTGGCAAAGAGGAGATTACTGGCCCATTCCACCCCAAACCATAGTTTTAGATGGCCACCGTTAAATTAAGCAAAGGAGATGTAGGTAGGGCATAAAGTTCAATATAAAAAATACCAGTTTCCCAGCCTAACTCTATGTCTAGTAAGAATTTTGGTGCCTGGTTATCTGCACACAGAGAAATCAAAAGGCAAATGCATCGAAAGTCTGCTAAGTTTTTGAGGAATTTGCACTGCCAAAAAAATTTAGGTCTGTCCTATAACAAATTATGTGACTCCTTAATCTTCAAAATAATTTATCTGAGCCTATCAAGCAAAAGGTGGTTGTGCCATGGGAGCTAATGATAAGGGATAACCTCCCAGGACCAGGCCCACAGAGGACAGTGGACACAGACTATGCTTCCACCACATTCTCTGATCCCTTTCTCCTTGCAATGCAGCTTGGGCTACACACGTGAGGACAACGTCCTAGGGTGAGAGGAGAAACAAGATAGAAACTGGGTTCCTGAATCACTGTGTGGAATAGAGTTGCCAGCTAACTTGGAATGTTCACTTCAGATTGTTCTTGGGAGAGTGAAATTAATTCTATCTTCATTAAACCATACTAGATTATGGTTATGTCTCTCTCTCTCTCTCTCCATATAATTTTTTTAGCAGCCTAGTTAGATAAACTAATGAAATGTCCAAAGATACTTCTCTTTCCCCACTAGGCCTGTTCCGCCACCTGAGTAAAGGAAAAATCAATTCTATACACCCCACTGCTCAGGCCAAAATCCTTGTAGGCAACCTGTGTCCTCGCCCCTACAGATTACAGAGCATTAAACCAAATCCTGCATTTGTGATTTAGCTTGGTACTTCCCAGAATTTCAGGGCGCACATGCATGGAGTGGGCCTGATTTCTAGTCCTAGAAAGGTTAATACCCTTCAAAGAAAGACCACCAGGAACATGTCTGTAGTTGCAAATATTGGCTTTATTATCACAGCTAGGCAGGATGCTCATACTGAGGAACCAAGGGTGTCTCAGTCATAGCAGATTAGGATGAACCTACGATAGGGGAAGATGTAAGCAGGCTCTAGGGTGGGTGCTGTCAGAAATCAAGGGCAAGTCTATGATTGAATATATCCATGAATCTTATTATAGGGAGTGGAGATCAGCAAGAGTATAAAGTTCTACTTGACAAAGAAGCAGCAGTCACTCACTTTAGCCGAGAGAGGGAAATGTGTTTGGATTGTACAATAATGTGGTTTTAATTATCTGATTGACCTTGTCTGATGTTGATGTTTTATGAGATTGTTTATGTCCAACAGAACAACCAGGCCCACCTGTGACCATCAGGCCAGCTTGTGACAGCACTGAAGCCTAGCTGAGGGAGTCAGGCAGTTCCAGGAGAGCAGGGCCTGCTCTTTTTTCTTTCCCAAGTGAGTAGTGGAGCCTCCTTTGCAGGCCACAGACAGTCAGCTTATTTCTGTGACCCCAGGTGAGAGATGGGAACTGTCTCAAGTCATTCGGGCTCAGCGCCTGCTTCTCAGAGGTCTGCATCTTCAGTCCACCTCCCCACCTGACCATTGTGAAACTTGCCCTCAACTCCGCACAGGTGACCCACATCTGCCCTCAGAACCCAGAGGACAGTACTGCTCTGGCCACATCTTCCCTATCTCTTTGTTTTTCCTTTTCTTTTGAAAATGATTGCTCTACTTCATTTCTGATCTACAGACAACTTCACCTATTGCTTTGAGTGTTCATGCCTCATTTGCAGAAAATGTTTGGGATTGAGGGGTAGGTTTCAGAGTGAGTTCAAGCTGGCATCTTGACCTGGGAACAACTGAGGGTCTTTTTGTGTTCCCACTTGGCTATAATTTCCTGATATGTGACACTAGCCAGCCATCTCCCATCATCAAAGTTGATTTTTTACATTCATTGTTATAGTTGTTGATATTCTAAACAGTCCCAAGGATCTTCTAGATCATACCCTCTGGGCATTAGCTATTCAATCCCCTTAAATGGCAACATTTTAAAAGGACAGGTCCCAGCATGACTGGTTGATATATTTTTTTAACCAGATTTTCCCCCTCTACTGATTTTTAGTGAGAGAGGAAGTGAGAGGGAGAGATAGAAACATTGATGAGAGAGAGCATTTATTGGCCGCCTCCTGCATGCTCCCCACTGGGGATTGGCCCCACAATCTGGACATATGTCCTGACTGGGAATCTAACTGGCGACCTCTTCATGTATGGGTTGATGCTCAACTACTGAGCCACACCAGCCGGACTGGTTGACTTTCTTCCTACGCTTTTGCCATATGTCAGCAAACCAGGCCAAATGAGTAAGTCAGGAGAAAAAAGCCTGAGTCTAACATTCTTCTGACGTGGAAGCAAAGTGAGATATGGGGAGCATCAGATTCTTAGAAAGCCTCTTGTCCTTCAGTTTATGTTCATAATGGCTGACTGAGTCTTTCTTCATCATGACAACCCCAACGCCATGTTGCTCTGTTGCAGCACACATGTGCATCTTGGACACTGTTTTATCATCTGATGTAAGGAAAGGATTATAAGTAGAGGAAGAACTTTGTGGAGGAGGGCCTTTCTCCAAAGCCCATTTGCTTCCCCATAAGCTCCCCCCAAAAAAGTTAAAGCCCTTTTGCCTTTTTGGTGCCTCCTGACCTCACCAAGTACAGATTGCTAAAGATCGCTATTGCCCACACTTCCTGGCTTCTCATTTAACACGGTCCCAGTTAAGCCCTGGTTGAAGGAGGTTTTCCAGAGCAGGAAAGGACACTGACTGGCTCATAGAGCAGATGACAGAGGGAAGCTGGGATCTGGAGGGGGGTCCTAAATCATGGCGACCGGTATCAGCCTCAACAGCATCTCTCTCTCTCAGTACCCCCTTGAGAAATAAATTCTGGGATGGGGCAAATTGTGGGGCAACTCTCATAGTTTACTTTATGGGGTCACTAAACATAGGCCAATCAAAGGACCAACAGCTTCACAGGGACAGAGAGTGATGCCGGGGAAAAAGAATCCTGAAACTCAGGGAAAACTCTGAGATGCTAGAGGACTATTATGGCCAAAGGGGGTTCCCTCACCCATTGCTGTCAGCCCAAGGCCTCTCACATACACAAAGACAATCACATGACTGCATGACTAATCATTTATTGACCATGTACAGGATGTCCTATTCTTGTCAAGTTCTCCTGGGTAAGGCAAAGAGAGTCAGGAATTTGGAGAAAATTTTGATTCTTGGTGAGTTGATGAGTCTGTCTAGACAATTGGAGAAGATCCTAAGATTCGGAGATAATGCCTTCCTGGACAATGTGATGAAAATCAGATCACAGAACTTGTCACAGGATGACACGGGGACCATGGAACGAAGATCCGGGAACTCAGGTGAGGAAGCATTCACTCGGCACTAAAATAAGCACAGAGAGAGAGAACACAGAAACCATGAAGCACTCCCTGGATTGAAATGAAGAGATGGAGAATTCTTATTGCAGAGAAAAAATGGTGAAAAAATAGATATCAACCTGTACTCCAACCTATGTTTTTTTGCCAGAATAGGGGGAAGGAGGGCATTAAATCAATAGCTTGTGTTTTGTTGTCGTTTCTTTTTATTGCTTAACCTTTCCTCAACTGAGTGTAGGAAAAAGAGAGAGGAATCAATGAAGGACCCTAGGCTAGTTTCTGCCATTCTCAGCATCCAGTGTTTGGAGGAATCACTGATAAAGTGAGGAAGAATGGCAAAAGCCACAGCCACCTTTTATTAAAGGCTGACTTTATACAAGCCATCAATGCTAAGACTTTCCCATGTTATCTGAATAAAGCCCCCCAATAAAGGTGAGGTGGGAAACACAGGAGGACATTCAGAGCCTATTTTCCAGGTGAAAGACACAGGAAGGTCAGACAGCTGTTTCCAGATCAGAAGTGAAGGATGTGCAGAGATGAAGGGAAGACCGTATTACCCGAAATTGGAGGGTGACACCACACATTTTGGCCTTGGCAGACGGACAAAACACAGAAATGTACTTGAGTTTCATACTCACACCCTAGTACTCCTTTCCTAGTTCAAAGTTTAAGTCTTAATGATTTTTAGGACATTATCAGTTACCAAGGCCTCTTCACCAGCAGGATATCCACACAGTATCTCCGTAAGGTACACATCATTGTCCTCCTTTTAATTGCTTAGGCCGTTTGCTCTAACGCTCATGGAAGGAGTAGGTCCTGAACCCAAACCCCCAACTCTAAATTTCAAGCTCACCCCACAAGCTTCCTTACCAAATTATTGGTATTGTAATATTTGGACACAACCCCCTAATGGTGTTGGAAGGCAGTGATCCCTGGCACCCCCTCTCCGTCACACATCACCCACCTGGAGTCCTGGGCTTCATGGCTCCCTCGGCCCTGGAGACAGCGATCTGCAGAGGCAGAACAGAGCAGTCAAACTCCATCTCGTTTATTTCCCAGAGAGCAACCAGATGATTCCCCAGGTTTCTCTGGGCTCTCTCCATTCAGTAACATGGGGATTTAGGCAGAGAAGACCAGAGATAGATACACGTACCGTCATCAGTCAGGTCCAGTATGTTTTCCTCAGGAATTCCATATTTTTGGCAAAGTTCTCCAAACCTCTCCTTGAGTTTTTCATCCACATCTGGTTTTCGGGCTGTGGGAAGAGTGACAGTAACTGCTGTGTCTTGTGTCTTGGTCATGGGCTCTTGGGGTGGGGGAGAGGCAGATGGATGGCACTGGATGGCACTGATTGGTGCTTAGGCAGAAGTTAGGGATGGGCTATAACCTGTCCTGAATTTGACATCTTTGAGATATCCTTCTGCATGAGGAGAAATGTCATCACCTTCCCATCACGGAGCCTGAGGGATTACCCCAGGTGAGCACCTCTCTTCAGAGGAGTGATATCCCAGGATAAGATTGGAAGGACTACTTGGTTTGTGGGTTTCCCTGTCTCCCCACCCCAAGATGAGTGTCAGATTAAATATACTGTACCATAGAGTCCCATCATTTTGAATGTTTTCAATTTGTTGTAATTAATGACATGAAAAATAAAATAGTCATTGTACTCCACTTCAACTATGCGAAATGCATTGAATCCAGCATCTGTGGAGGAAACAGAAAGAACACAGCTCAGAACTTCTTTGCTCCATGAGAAGCAAGTGAAACTCTAACCTATTACTCTCTCTCACAGAACAAATTCAAGTGCATATCCTGCGGGAGACAAAGAACCCAACTAAGGCCTTCCATTTTTGTCTCCCTAGGCTTCATCTGGTGACTTCTAAGGGTAGAAGTGACTACTGGCAGAAATTCCACTGCTCCTCATTGACCACTAACGGTAGAAAATTTCAGCCAGAGTAGCAACTTCCCCTTAATCATCCTCCCTGAGGCTCACCTACCTCCCAGGGCCATCTCTGCCAACTACGTGTCTCTGTTCCGTCTATAAGCCCACCGGCATTATATACCCAGCACTCTATCCGAGCAATGTGCTGTGGCAATGGCCACCAAAAATCAGCAGAAAGTGAGCAGCTGTCCTGACAATTTACGGGGTTTTTGTGTTTGTTTGTTTTTGCCATTTTCTTTGGTTGCAGCTGGTACTTGTAACCAAATTGCCATCTTATTCTGATGGTAGTATGTGCCAGGCATTGGCTTTTACACACAGGGTTCTCCCAAATTGAGGATGTTGGCTATTAGATGGCCCCTTTATATTACCTAAATAAGCATTGAACAGGAATTGATCAAGATCCTAAAGATATTGGGGTTTAATACATTTCTTGAAGTTGGAAGCAGAATTTACAAAGATACTTTTTGTATACTTACAGACAACATAACATTTATCATTCTTTGAAATTTGGTCACAAAGCAAAGAAACTCCAACGCACTTTCCACTGACCCTGTAAAACAGAATGAACTGATGCCCAAGAGCTGTTGATGGGTCGGCTCCCTCACACTCCATGTGTAATGTGAGTGTCTGACTCCAACTAACTGTTCAACATTTTTCATATAAATTTGAACCTGCTTTTATTTGCCTTATTTCACTTTATTTCATACTTTTAGAGAGTCTGCTACCATATCACTATCGCTCTGCCCCCACCACCCCTAATGTTCTCACTCTGGCTACTTGTCTAGATGATTAGCTGATGGCTCAGACGTGCCTGCCTCTCAGGTGAGTGCCCTACAGACAGCGCCTCACTCGGTCCTCACACACCCCAAAACAATGATGACAAAGAATTATTATCCTCTTTTACCCAAGGGAAAATTGGGGTATCATGAGATTAATTTTCACGGTCACACAACTAGCAAAAGATAATTTCAAGAGATAGATGAGCTGTTGATCCCCAAGCCTATGCACTTAACCAGGCTCTCTTCCCACACTACCTGTGATCCTGATACATCTGAATCTCTTACCTCTCCTGCCCCCAGTTGCACTCATTCCTGTCACCAGTCCTTATCTCTGAATCTAGAAAATAGGCAAGTTCCTCAGTTCCTATATCAGTGCCAGATCAGTGACTCTGATTTTGGATACAGGCCCACATGTGTGTGTATACTTGCACGTGTGTGTGTATGTGTTTGTGTTGTGTGTGTGTGTGTGTGTCTGTTTATTTGTTTAAGACCATACACAAGCTTCTGTTTTCCCTTGCTCAAGGAAAACAGGCACACTTACTTTATATGAAATTTAAATATCAGTGAAGAGTTGTCCCAGGCTTCAATTTTGTCCACAAAACCCCTCATAACACTATTTTCTTCTATTCTTTCTTTGACATCTGAGGCCAAGAGTATGGTATACCACTCCCCTGAAATCTGCAATAAATCAGTAAATGATTGGGAAGAAAAGAAGAGAGGGGATACCACATGAACACTTGTCTCCTTGAACTCTGGCCCATGGGCCAGGACTCATAGAGATGATGTCAACATGGAATTAGAACACAGGTTAATTGACACCACATGTAAGGCTCTTTCCACTGTCCCTGCAGTGAGAATGGAGATCTCCAACACTTGCCACCATTCCACATGCTCCAAGGTCAGAAACCACTCCCTTTGCTTGACATGTCAAGAATCTCATGGCCACCTTGCTTCAAAATTTCCCCAAACCACCCCCAAAGTCAGAAGCCCCTTTGCTACCCCAACTCTACCTTTGAAACATCAAGGTTTGTCACGGCTTCATGGCTTCCTTCATCATGGGCACAGACGAGAGTCAGCCCCAGACACAGCAGCAGCAGCTTCATCTTGGGAGGGACGCTACTGAATCAGCTACAGTCGCTTCAGTGAATCTTTCCCTGATGGTGGCTCCACTCCCCAGCTCTCTGTCTTTATATTCCTTCTGGGTCCAGTATTTTGTCCATGGGACATCAGCTTTTTTCCTCCTACTGTATGACTGTGTTCATTGATGAGAGGCCAAGATTGTTCCTGTCAATCTCATCTCTTTTAGATCTACTTAGTGACCTGAAATTACTCAAACCACACACACAAAAAATAGTGGGTGCCATCAAAGGCTACCTTTTGGAACTAGAATTAACTGTGAAATCAGAAAGCTAATTATGTATGGCAGAAATGGATTAGAATTGGGAAATTAAAGGTCTGGTCAACCATGTATCACCACTCATACACTGTGGAAACAGGTGAGTTACTCCATTTTAACTAGCCTCAAAAACAAGGCAACTATCTCTACCAAAGAGGTTAGTACCTATCACAAAGCTTTCAGATGGAGTAGATTAGAAAAGGGTTGGATAAAATAATGTCTTTAAGTATGGTGTCTGGCATTGAGCACATTTTAATTCCTTTTTCTTGTTGTCTGAGTTCAACCACAGTGAATGAACAAATGTTTAATCACTACGTATACCTCGCTATATACCATAGTCCCCTGAGAGAAATAGAGAAGTAGAAGATGTCATCCCTTTCTTCAAGCAACTTGCAATGAAGATGAGGAAATGTTTTAAATACTCAACAAAAACTTTTTACTTCAAGCATATGAAGTAACCCAGCAGAGTGGGACCAAGTTCAGACAATTGTGGGTCAGAACAAAGGTTGATGCTGAGGAGGTGATATCACATAGAAAGTGCTTAAGAACTCAGACTTTGGAATCATGTGGACCTGGGCTTCATTCCTATCTCTGTCATTTTGAAGCCATGAAGACACATTTAACCTCTCAGAGTCTTAGTGTCCTCCTAAAGGAGATAATGGCATCTGTCTATAGATGCTGTAGGGATTCAATGGGATGATGTGTGTGGAACCTTGAGAATAATGTCTGGCACAATTGGGTGGCTGGGATCAGATAATTAATCCTGGGAGGTGGGTCTTGGGAGGTCCTGAAAATTAGGCTGGGTATAGGGAAATGGACAGCATGTGTGGTGGTGGGGTGGGGCTTCCTGGTGAGAGGAATGCTGTGATTTAGGGTCCTGTACCCCCAGCTGGTGCTCATTTCTGCCTTGTGCTAATGGTCCCCTTCTGCACACCCCAAAACAGAAAGAGGCCAATGTCATGGGAGGAGCTGGGCACAAGGCCGTGAACCTAGAATTATGGTATTCTACCTGTGGCCTGCTTTCAAAAGTCACCCCAGTCCCCACGTGATTAATCCTAGTCCATGCTCCACCACTATCCAGTCACTGGTATTTGAGGTCTATGTAACCTTAGGCACCATGTGTGGGCTATAGGCCGTCCTCCCCAAGAGAGAGGACTGAGCTTGACAAAGGGTGGCCAAGGCTGTGCACTTCGTTTTGTCTAGCTGCGTCTCTCCAAGAATAGATGGCAGCCTGTGAGCAAGCAGGTGTGCAAGGTGACCTGGCCTATGATGCTGAGGGGAGAGTCAGCCACCACTGCTGCCCACCGTGTCTATCCCATCCCACCACCCCTCTGAGCTCGGCACCCACATCAGAGGGCCATATTGCAACTGTCTGCTCTTGGCAACATCTTTCTTTTCACTTTTGTACCTACTGTAGCACCTGTATAGTATCACCTTTGGAATGACTGTACACCATACCCTATATTAAAAGCCCAATGTATTATTGTTATTTGAAGGAACCTTATAGGAAGTCTGTTAGTAAAAAGGACTATTACTTTTGGGAAGTGACCTCCTGATCTATATTACTGGGTCGCAGGAGTAAAGAGAGAGCAGCGGACTGAGTGTATGTTCAGAAGCCTATGTTGTGGATGATCTTATCTGCTAAGATCTGAGTTGACTCTTCCCCAGCATGTTATTTACTCCATTTCAAATCTTCCATGTTTTCGGTGATCAGTGTAAGCGTTGCCAGTACAGCCTGTGAACATCGAGACAGCAAGGTCACTACTGCGCAAATACTCAAGAGATGTGAGCAATCTCACTGGGGGCTTGGTGAAAGAAAACCCAGACAAAACCAAAGCTGAAGCAATATTAAACCAATCAGGAGTAACGCTTTGCTTTACAATAGGATTCCTATAATAGGAATGAAAGAATTCCTGCAGTAGGCTTAAATAATACTCCTGCATTTAAATATTTGCGGTAGCAGTTATGGATTCACAGTCTAAAAATACTCCAACTTATAAATAACCAATAAGCTCAGTTAAATGAATTATTGACTTTTATATTGGGGAGGATGGGAAAAGCAGAGATGGGGGAAAGATGAAATAAATAAAATAAAGAGAGTAACCCTTGATGGTAGCATCTCCCAGATGATAGCGTAAGTACCTGGAATAAGGGTTCAATTTACAAAAGTTCACTTGGCCGCCCATCAGTAGGGAATAGGTTTATTGTATAAAGCAAGGGACATAGATAGAACCTTTGACCATAGAGGAATTTTGTGTGAGGTGTAGCAAGTTGCTTCAAGAGATGATGCTACTACTACAGGATTTTTTAAAAATAATAATTCAACGACCATTACCAAATGCCTACTGGACATTAGGCCTGTACCAGGCTCTTTAAGGGCAAAAGACATCAGTAAGATAGAGGCTGTGCCCTCTAGAAACTCCTAGTCAGTGTAAGGATGACTTGAAAACAATCTAATTTTAAGGGAGAATGTTTTTTAAATGATATAGAAAAACAGAGAAGCCAATGAAGAAACAGAGAAAAAAATAAAACATGATTTGATTCGATTAAAGACTGACCACCTAATTCCAGGTATGAAGCCAGAAGAATTTTTCCTTCCAGATGAGAGGCGCCTTACCTAGGAACACAAGTCTTCCTGGACTCTGGTCCTCTCCCGGTCCAGTGGAGAGGGAAGGGGGGAGGGAGGAGTGTCTTGGAAGGAAAGGTTTTGTGGAGAAATAAATGAGAGTTGAGTTGTTCTGCCAGCCAATGGGCCCTAAGAAAATGAACTCCTTTCTTTCTGCCAGGGGACAAACAGCAGTTCTAATGAGCCAGCCTCGGGCTACACCATTGCAGCAGATGGACCAAGTATACATGCTATCTTCTGTCACCGCCATGGAAAGCTAGCCTTCAGGCCTTCTCTTTTATGGGCCCAATGAGGATGGTCCTGATTGCTGTTAAGAGTAGATGATCGGCCCGGCCAGTTTGGCTCAGCCATTAGTGTCAGGCCTAGGACGAAAGGGTCATGGGTTTGATTCCTAGTCAAGGGCATGTACCTGGGTCGTGCAGGAAGCAACCAATCAATGTGTCTCTCTTGTGTCAATGTTTCTCTTTCTCCCTCCCTCCCTTCCACTCTATCTAAAATCAGTGGGAAAATATCCTTTGGTGAGGATTAACGACAACAACAAAAAAGAGTAGACAGTCTCTCCAGGGCCCAAAATATCTACCAATCTTTTAAGACTAGAAAGCTAATATTAAATCATACTCCCACATTTCAATCAGAGTAGATAAATCCAAACTGCTATATTACAATCAATGTGCATCAGCTACTTTTATCATTAAGGCCCTTAGACTTTAATGAACTTAGAAATGATCTGGTAATCAAAGAAAACAGGTCTTATTCAAAGCCATCTTTGTTCAAGCATGAGATTGTGCCAAAATCCACTCCCCAAGGCAAACAGTCATAATGGGGATGTATTTCGCAGCACTGCAAATGTCATCTGTCCAGGGGCCAGATAATTAAAAATAATGTTTTGATTTCAGAAACAGTGTAAGAACTCAGTGAGTATTAGCTAAGTGCTTCACAAATATTATTTCATATAATCCTCATAATAACTCTATTTGATAGGTACTATTGTCCTGCTTCACAGAGGTATGAACTAAGCCTCAGAGAGGTTAAGTAAACATACCAAGATCACACAGCTAGTAAGTGGGAAAAACCCATATTTGAACCCAAGACTGTCTAATTCCAAGAGCCCCTACTCTTATTGACTCCACTGCACAGGTGGAGGCTTGATGTTTCTGACATGAGGCACAGGTGGAACAAGAATAAGTGATGCTTTGGAACCTCAGTGGTGTCTGCCTGGGAGTCACCGCTAAAGAAGCTGCATGTCGATTTCTCAAAAGCATGGCACCATGGGTGTAGATGCAAGAGTCTGATCAAGTAAAGGGCTAGTAGCACCCTTCTCTTGGTAAAAAAAAAAAATATTTGATGGGTGAATGAATAGTTGGATGATTAGGAGAGTATTGCTCTTCTAACAAGGAATTAGGAAATGCTTCCAAAACAAAAAGCAAAAACTATTCCCTTCCATTCATGGATTCAAGTTAAGTACCTGGTCACCAACTACATTAAGACTTTTTCACCCAAAACCAAGTAGAAGGTATTTTATAAGTGGCCTCCCTGAGGGGTGCCAGTCTGCCAGGTGGTTGAGATACGACTGTCCTATGTCATGAC